AGACTCGCCCACCTCAGCACAGACAGGCTGCCCTTTCCAGCTTCCCCACCATCTGCCAGTCTCACCCACTCCAGAAACCCATTTTCCCTCTCGCTACGAACACCTCGGAGCTTTCCGACCACACGTTCTCGAGGCTCTCCACCCTGGCTACTTCCTGGCTTGGTCACTTGTTTCCGAGTCTGTTTTATTCCCCCTGCAGACTGGAGCAGCTTCCAGCCTGTGGGTGGCTGGGCTAGCAGCATCTCGGGCTTGAGTCATATCCCAGAGGTGTGTTTAAAATATCAGTAGGATCGTCAAGTCATTGCACTGAAAACGCATCAGAAGGCGGCGCCCCGCCCCCGCAAAGACTCAATGAACAGGATGACGTTTTTCTTTGTATTGTTTCATAATCTTCATCCACATGATTGACGGTCAAACCGGTTAGTCTATGTGTCCTATTTCCTTACATGTGAAGTAAAATACATTTCCCTGGGCTACGTTCTCCGTTTCCTTTGTCAGGCTTCCAGTGTCTTGGGTCGTAAAATGATCCCATCATCTGTCACTCTTCGGTTTGCTCTGTGTGTGTGTTCCCGGACGTATGGATATGTATACGTGTGCATGTGCAGGTGGAGGCCAGACGACAACCTTGGGCGTCCTTCCTTAGGTACAGCCCACCTTGTTTTGGAGACAAGAGTCTCTCGCTGACCTGGAACTCACTGAGCAGACCAGGCTGGCCAGTCAGAAAGCCCCTGGGTTCTGCCTTACTGTCTCAGCCTCCTCAAAAGCGCATGCCACCATGCTTAGCTTCTGGGCGTCAAACTCAGGTCCGTATGTTTGCAAAGCAGACCCTTTACCCACCAAGCCACCTCGCCAGCCTTGCCTGCTGGTTTGCGTTTTGCTTTGCTTTGTGGTTTCCCCTAATATTAAAGATGTATTTTGAATGCTTTTAATGTTTTAGTTTCGAGTTTCAGATCTTTAATCCACCTTGGATTTGCACTGGAGAATAAGATGTAAAGAAACAACTTAATTTAAAAGCACGGTCCCCTCCCTCATTGGTTAGAAGCCACGAGTCATAAGCGTGCAGCCCCCCCCCTCCTCTCAGTGGCTGGAGATAGCACTCTGGCTTTCTAAGCCCTGACACATTGGTTATATTACTTATCTTTTTTTTTTTTTTTTTTTTTTTTTTTTTTTTTTTTTTTTTTTTTTTTTTTTTTTTTGAGACAGGGTTTCTTTTCTCTTTGCAAATCCAGTATGCCTCTTCTCTCCCATTTCTTGGGATTCAGAATCAGCTCATCCAGGGCATGAAACATCCTTCTGTATCCTTCATTTCCCTTGCAATGAGCTTCAGGATTATTCTCAGCATAACCGACCCCTGGAGACAGAGGTGGGACTTTCTCTGATACCCACCTTGACTCAGAGGGGAGCTATGCAATCCCCTCTGGCTCTGACACTGTCCTGGGTTTCAGGGGGACAAACTCAGGTCATCAGAATGGTTTGCACGTTAACCATTCGATAGTCCTGTCAAGTAAACCGGCTTTTGCCTCTTGGCTGGCGCTGCACTGAGTAGACTTCTTAGCGTCCCCCCTTCCCTTGTCAAATGCTCCATACGTGGCCACCATGCACGCTCCTTTAACAAATCTGTATCCAAATGGCTTGTGAAATTGCTTTTGTGTGGGGTAAATTTCCATTTGCTGTCCCTCTCACCAAAAATTATATTTCTTCATAAGCTTAGAAATTAGAGCATAGAAACACGTCTGTCCCCCACTTTCTCCTCAGTTCTGTCTCTACACTTACCCTTCACCCTCAGTGACTTCTAACCCTTACTTGTTTCGTTTTGTTTAGAAAGAGTCTCACTGTGTTGCCCAGGCTAGCCCCAGACTCCTAGTCTGAAATAAAGCTGCTACCGCCTCCCTAGTAGCTCGGATTGATGGCCACACAAGGCCCTGACTCAATCCTTACCTGTCAATCACCCCTCCTCATTTATATTTGACATCGGCACTGGCCTTAACTAGCATGTTCTGCCCTCATGAGGCCAGTTTTCAGTTCTCCTCCACCCCAGCCTCATAGCCACCGCCCATCTTCGTCATCTGGCCTTGCCCTGGCCACAGATGTGTGCTAACTTGTGTTTCATGTGGTGGCAGTTCTTCCCTATGTAACTGGTTTCTCTGTTCCGATACAGCACCTATCTTGCTTGGAATCTGTCTTCCCTTTAAAAAAAAAAAAAAAAGCTAGAATAACTTTTTTCAGGGAAATATCTGAAAATTCTTGCTGGCCTTCATGGAACCAAAAACACTTTGGTTGCCCCCTTGAACATCAAGGAGAACTTGGTCTTTTTAAATTTTTTAGTATTGTTTATATGGGGCAGGGCACACGTGGACCCTAGCCAGCGTGGAGGTCAGGGGATAATTTTCTGGGCTCATTTCTCTCCACTGTGGAATCTGGGACTTGAACTCACATCGTCAAGTTTATGCAAATACTTTTACCTGCTACAGCTCCCTGTCTCCTCAGTGTGTGGTTAGAAAACAGGGCTCTCCTGAGAAATTGTTTGCCAACGTGACCTTTATCTTGCTGGAAGCAGCCTGCTGTTCATTTCCTTCTGGAAGCTTCTCTAAGATTACCCTTCTCTCCTTGAAAGACTGAATGTTCGCCTTAGCGCAAAAGTGAATGACATGTTATCATGGGGGATCTTGGAGGTTTGAACTCAGTCTCTGTCCCTTATTCGGCAGCCTCCTTCTTGAATCAAGTCTCTCCCCCTTGTTTCTTGGTTAGTGGACTGCCATCGCCTTTAAATCCAGAGGGTGCTTCCAGGTGCGTTTTAGTTGCATATAGAAAGTCTCACGAACAGCGCTTAATTCCCCAGGGGTCCAGCTTCCCCTCACATAAGGAGACCCCAGAGCGGACCTCAGGCTGTGGTAGTCACTCTAAAGTGACAAGAGGAAGCCTGGTTCTCTTCCTATCGCACCTTCCTTGCATATGGCTTCCATCCTTGCCTGAGGATCCAAAATGGCTGCTGGAGTTCCAGACATCACTTCTGAGATAGGGGTTAGAGAAAGAAAGAAAAGAAGAAAGGGAAAAACAATCAGACCTCTTCCCACACAAGCCCATGCCTTTCCTGTGGCCTCTGGGCAAGGTACACATAGGGCTTCCACTCCCATCTCCTTGGACAGCCTTTCGTCATGTGACCATGCCTAGTAGCAGGAGAGAGTGAGGAGTGTTACCTTTTACGCTGTGTGAAGTGGGCCCAAGAAGGTAAGGGACAGCTAGGCAGCTGGCACTGTGAGCCACATGTGTCCCTGATTCTCTGCCCTCTGCTTGGTTTACTCTACAGAACATTCATGGTGTCTCAGACGGTGTCCCCTGCCTTGTCCGTGTCCTCGTCTTTGCCCACCAAAATCAGTCAGGTTCTTGTCTGTGGTGTCTGTTCTGTGATCTGACCCATCAATGCATGGATTTTTCCAAAATCCTGGCTCTCTATCTTCTGACATCTTCTTTTGACAGCAGCAGGCTGGGTTCGAATGGCTCTCGGCTCTGCAGTAACCAAGGGTGCAAGCGCAGAGCTTCAGCGTTTGCTGTCCATGGGCTCTGTCTGGTCAATAAAAGAAGGTCAGCATCTGCCTTGGAGCAGACACAGGACATGTCCATCACCGCCAATCAGGAAATACAACCTCTCAGGGAAGCATGGGTAGAGAGGGAGAGACCTAAGCCACAGCTGGGCTCGGTTCCAGCCTGTCTCTCACAGCTCTGGCATGGTGGACCCGTCACTCATCCCTATACCGTTTCCTTTCGGTAAGGACTCTAACAGCTGCCTGCACCAAGATGTACCAATTTTTGCAAAGCTCTGCACACACTTCCTGGCTGACGGTGGGCGTTAAACCTCTGTCAGGTACTGACGGGATTCTCTGGGCTTGTTTAAATGTTCCGCTCATGTTCTTGGATGACACAGCTCTGTTGTCCGTTACAGTCCATCAGGGTGACTTGTTCTCCATGACTTGAAGTGTTAGGGACTGAATGTCCATGTCCCCCAAAACTCTTAGGTTGAAACCCCATGCCCAATGAGAGGGTACTGGAGATGGGGCCTGTGGGGAGTGATGGGGTCTCAGGAGTGAGCCATTATGGGGGATTGGTGCCCTTATATTAGACATCCCAGGAAGCTCCCTTGATGCTTCCTCAATGGTGATAGCAGTGAGAAGCCCGTGAGAAAGAGGCTTCATCAGACCTCAAACCTGCGTGTACCTTGGACTCTTCAAGTTCCGGAACTTCAAGAAATAAATGTCTGTGGGTTTTAGGAGCTGCCCCATCAGTGGTGGCCAGTGTCAGCAATTCTCCCAGATTAAAACATTGGTATATCTTCTTCTTTTTGCCACATTGTCCTTTGCTCGATGACTCTGGTGGCTTTATGGGGAACTGGGCTTCAAAACACCTTCGTCACTCTTTGTCTCTGAATCCTTTGATTACATCTAAGCTTAGACAGCTCAAGAGTGTAGCAGCAACAGTTTGATGTGGTTGCACCCTTAGTATGTAACTTCTTAGCCTCTCGTTTGGGGATGGGTGTGAGACAGAGGTTTGGGATTTGTGTGTATTGTTGTTATTCAGTCATATAATCATTTTCAAATGGAATGTTCCGTCATTTTACACTGTTTACTGATTCCTTTCCCATTTAAATAGAGCATGCTCGGGTAAAATAACACTTGTTCCTGTCAAGGTATCCACTGACTAGATAGGTAGATGATTGATATGTCAGAGACTGGCAATGTTAGAGATAGATAGATCTATAGATAGATAGGTAGATAGATAGATCTATAGATAGGTAGCAGGTAGGTAGACAGATAGATGATAGAAATAAATCTATAGACAGACAGATGATAGATGGATAGATAGATAGATCTATAGACAGGCAGACAGACAGACAGATGATAGAAATAAATCTATAGACAGACAGACAGATGATAGATGAATAGATAGAAATAGATAATGGATAGATGGATATATATAGGTAGATAAATTATTAGATAGATGATAGATAGATAGATAGATAGATAGATAGTTCTATAGATAGGTAGGTAAATAGGTAGATGATAGAAATAAATATATAGACATACAGATGATAGATGGATAGATAGATAGAGCTATAGACAGACAGACAGATAGATGATAGATGAATAGATAGAAATAGATGATGGATAGATGGATATATAGATATGTAGATAAATTATTAGATAGATAGATAGATAGATAGATAGATAGATAGATAGATAGATAGATGATTCATGTATGAGTAGACATAGATATATGATACATGCACATGGATGGCTAAAAAAATGGGCAGATGTGTACATACAGAAATGGAATATGGGTAGATAGATGGATAATTTATAGATACATAGGTAGACAGATGCACTGATAGGCAGATAATAGATGGAAAGATAGGTCTGTGTATCTTGACAGAAGTTTCAAATGGCCTTGTAGGAGAAGGAGACTCATACAGAGGCTCCGCACTTCTGGTACTTCCCAGGTGAAATTATGAAAATGAGGAAATCCCCAGGCTTCGGGGAAAGGGGAACTGGGAAGAAGAAGGGCCTGTGGGAGAACTGAGGGTAAATGGAGCAGAGGTGGGGAGAGCACCAGGCTCTCCATGTACTAGAGAACAAGTGTGTGTGTGCGTGTGTGTGTGTGTGTCTGTGTGTCTGTGTGTGTGTTTCTGTGTGAGCTCACTCATATGTGGGGCCTGGTTCAAGTGAAGCACTAGCTCACTTCCATCTCTGGGCACTGCCCCATTGTCCAAGAGGGACCTGCTGTCTCAGAGGCTTTAACTTCTATATCTCTGCATGATCATGCTTTAGGCCAAAAAGACCTAAGGAAAGGGAACAGTCCCAAACACCACACATCAGGGCCTCTCATTTGGATTCTGGTCACTTGATATCAGCAAATTCCTGGGCAGCTCTCAGACTACAAACCCTTCTGCAGTCTCAGAGTAAAGAATCATGGACCTGTAACATGAGTGTGGCCCAACCCCCAGCCAGGCAATGAGACAGGACACAGGACAATGAGGATGTCACCCTGCCCATAACTACAGCCCGCCTGTACAGTCACCTAAAGTCCCAGAATGGACCAGCAGATGGCACTGACCTGGAGCCTGCTCTACATGGCCCTGCTGGCTCTCTGCTGGAAGCCTGGTGCGACAGAGGCACAAGGTAAGTCTGAAGGCCCGTTCCCTTTTCACCCCTCTTTTTAGTTGAGTCTGCTAGGAACCACACCCACCATATCCCCAGCGGCCCCCAGACTCCCAGCAGCTCCATCCACTGGATACAGCTCTGTCTTCCTTTCTCTCTTGCACCCTCCCTTTTCTCCCACAGGACTTCCCTGGGCCCCTCTCTTCCCTCTTCTCCATCTTTCTGCTCATCCTTGCCTGGCCCTGGGGCATCCAGCCCAATGGTGTCCCTCTGCACCCATATTGCTCAATGTTGCCCCCAAAGCCCAGACTCCAGTGAACCAGCATCTTCTCTGCCCCTCCCCAGACACTCTACTCCTCTGAGGACTTCAGGTTCCCCCTAACCCTTCCTTCTGGGGGCTCTGGCCTAAGGCTCTCTCCCCATAGTAAGTCTAGCCCTTGTCTCTACTCAGAGGCCCCGTGGGATAGTCTAGAGTCTTCCGAGGCTGGAAGACTGTCCTCAGTGCCCCCTGAGACCTCCTCCGTGACAATGTGGAAGTCACATTCCCTTTACCAAGCCCAAGTTCAGAGGTCAAGGCTCAGATGATCAGGACCCTGGATAGGGAGGTGACAGATACATGTCAGGCCCTGCTGTGTCTGTCCTGCCAAGTGACACCACAGGGAACAGAGCTGACCTGGGCGATGCTTTCAGGGAGGCCTGTACAGCACAGGACACACAGTCACAGCTGAGAATCCACTGGCATCTCGTGTTCCTGGAGAAGAGGAATGTCCCCAACACAGCCCACCAGGCTCAGGACCCTCCATCTATCTGCCCTCCTGGGAGGGCCTCAGCAGGAAGCTGGAGGTGCTGGTGCTTAAAAGAGTTGTGGGATTCAGTGCCTCATGGCGCACACATTTAATCCAGCATTCAGGAGACACAGGCAGGAGGATCTTCGGGAGTTCGAGGCCAGCCTGGTCTACATAGCAAGTTTTAGGACCATCCAGTTACAGAGAAAGACCCTGCCTCCAAAATAAAAACAAAACAAAACAAAAACAAAAAAAAAGCAAGCCAGCAAACAAACAAAAAAACAGAGTTGTGGGGACAGGGGACACCAGGAGGAGAGACTGTGACTCTCCTGCTTCTCCTTGTCAGACACCATCCCTCTGCAGACCCTAAGCTGCTACAACGACTACAGCAGCCACATCATCTGTAGCTGGGCCGACCTGGAGGATGCCCAGGACCTCATTAACATGACCCTCTATCGCAAGCTGGGAAAGTGAGTACCACTGGGTCCACTGGTATTGAAACCCAAGGACCTTGCTACCACCAACAGCCCTCCTGCCCCTGCATCACCAATGATGTGCTGCCATCATCCCCAGTCACCTTATGTATGTGCCACCCAACACCTGAAGGGGTGTCTGCAGCACCAGGCCTCTCCTGCACTGCGCATCCTGTCCCCCTCTCTCCTCTGACCCTACGACAGCCCCCTCTAAGGGTTCCTCATGCCTTTCCCATATTTCTTGTCTGAATGTACTCCCATAGGATGTGGCTGTCTCCAAGGAATCCAAACTGTACCCATCACTCAGAAATACCCCAAGTCAAATGACCAAGCCTGGGCCCTTGTCTCCCAACCCTCCCAGGATGACCTCCTTGTCGTTCATCTCCACTTGACTCCTAGCCGCCACCCTCACCATTTCTAGTCCAATGCTAAAAGCCAAATTCTTCTCTTGCCTTCATTTCCACACCTCACTTCAGTTGCTGGGAGGAAATGGTAGCGTGACTAATGACGGAGAGGTTTTGCTTAAAATGTCTTCTAGCTCCTTTCCTCCATCTCAGTGAACACTATTGAGTTTGTCTCTCGAGGAGGGGCAGGTCTGACCAGCTCAGACACCACCACCGTCCAAACTACTTACGGTCACCAGGACGGTGCTGTGTCCTTATCCTGTCACCCTGTCTGTCCATCCTAAGTCTTTCCCTCACTCAGTAAATCCTTCGAATCCTGCACCAAAACAAGTCCCCACTTCCCTCACTCATAAATTCCTGCGTGCATACTATTAACAAACACACAGGGAAACCTACATTCCTTGTGGCAGGACTCACGACTGTGTAGCCTGCAGCACAGAAGTCCATACTCAAGGACAATTTGTTAGGTCTGGAAAGAACTGACAGACCATTGTTCAAACTAAAGATCCAGGGAAGGAGTTGTCAGATACTTCCCTGCTTTGACATCACAAGTGTAGGACTTCTTTCTATAAGGACATGGGGAGAGGGTACTATGGTCTCAGGTGGGCTTTGGGACAGTTAGCAAGCAGTCATAAGTTTCAGCACGATCTGAGTTTTAGATGCACGTACTATGATGATGTAAAGGTGATTGGGTCATTGGCTGTCCTGGATGCTGCACATCCAGAGAGATATTACAAATCTGTAAGGTTTTTATGTGTTTTGTGCCTGTGTTTCCGTGCCTGTGTTTCTCTGTCTCTGTCTCTGTCTCTGTCTCTGTCTCTGTCTGTCTCTCTGTCTCTGTCTCTGTGTGTGTGTGTGTGTGTGTGTGTGTGTGTGTGTGTGTGTTGTTCACTACCAGATACTTACCTTGGATCAATGCAGGCATGAAGACACAGCTAATGAATGTTCACTGACAGGGACTACCCAGTGTCCTGCAGCCTCAGTGATGACCTAGTCTGGTCAGAGTGCCCATCTGCCCACCGTTGTGTGCCCAGAAGATGTGTCATTGCCTACACAGGCTTCAGTATAACAGATGAAGACTACTACTCATTCCAACCAGATCAGGATGTGGGCATCCAGCTCGTCGTCCCATTGGCCCAGCATGGTGAGCAGCGGGGGTCCTGCCTGGGCAGGGGGTGCAAGAGTGGACAGGTTCCTGGAGGAGGGTTGGAGTGAGTGTCTCCCAGGTTGAGGGACCCTGACCTGGGGTTAGAACAGATGGGATATGACCACTCTGCCTGAGGTTCCCCCTGTCCTCGCTGCTTCAACTGCTTACCACACCTCAAACTCTCCTCTGTAGGGACAATGACTGTGACTCCCATAGGACTTTCAGGTGACTCTGGTGTTCCTTGTCTTGTCTCAGGGCTGCAACACCTTGCTCCATGACTGAGGCTGTGGAGAGGGTGGGTAACAGAAGAGAGGGCAGAGGTGGCTCTCAGCGCCCTCTGCTGGAATGAAGGCCCAGTACACAGCAGAGCTGGAGGAGGCCCCATTTAATTGAATGTTCAGGCCCTGGAAGGCACAATTGCTGTCAAATCTGGTCCCCAAGTTTTCAGGTCCCAGGCCTGAAGCTGCAGAGTAAGGGTCCTGAAGCTCTTTCTCGTGACCATCAGCTGATGGTGTGAGCACTGAACCTGGGCCCAAGTGGTACCCAGAAGGCCAGGCTGCCCTCAGGTGCCCAGCATGCAACCATAGAACTCTGCTTCCTCCCCTGCAGTGCAGCCCCCACCTCCTAAGGACATCAACATCAGCCCCTCTGGGGATCACTTCCTGCTGAAGTGGAACTGGACCCTTGGAGATGCCCAGGTCCCCTGGCTGTCACAGGAGGACGTCGAATTCGAGGTGGCTTACAAGAGGCTTCAGGACACCTGGGAGGTAGGTCCCTGAGTCATCTGTGCCCAGCCTGGTGGGATGGCCGAGAAGGCTACTTCTTCAGCTCCCCTCTCCACAGGATGCTCTCAGACTCAACACCAGCGACTTGTGGGTCTCCCTGGCGTCAGAGCTGTTTCTACCCAGCAATATTTATGTGGCCCGTGTGCGCACTCAGCTGTCCCCAGGCTCAAGCTGGTCTGGAAGGCCCAGCAGATGGAGCCCTGAGGTGCAATGGAACGCCCAGCCAGGTAATGGGGCCTGTGGGGAGTGCTCCTCGTAGGAGCCCAGACACTGGAGACAGTCTACACCCGAGGTTCCAACTTCTACCCAACGTTGCCATCGGCACCCCCCACCAGCCCTGTGTCCCCAGTCCTCTCTCTGGTCACTCCACTTTATACACCCTTAGCTTTAGGGCCCCAACTGTGTCCTATAATGGCAGCGACAGTCACGACAGCAACAGCAGCATGGGCCCGTGTGTTAACAATGCTGGACTATAGCGAGGGTCATCTGTGTCCCTGTGTTCATGCTAACATTCAACATTCAGACTGGTCCCCTCTCCCAAGATGGGGCAGAGGTATCTGGGTCTGTCCAGGCTGGGGGCACACAGAGTTAGACTGAGATCCACAGCCAGGTCTCTAGGAGTCACCTAAGTGTCCCAGCCTAGCGAAGTGAGTGACGGTGCAGTGGCTGAGGGGCAATGTGTTCCCACAGGGGACAAGGCCCAGCCTCAGAACCTGCAGTGCTTCTTCGATGGCATTCAGTCCCTCAGCTGCTCCTGGGAGGTGTGGAACCAGGTGGTCGGCTCTGTTTCCTTTGGGCTCTTTTACCGCCCCAGTCCGGCTGCTCCGTGAGTGTCGTCTCTCCATGCTGCTTTTTCTTAGCCCCAAGGCTGTACCTCTCTGAGGTCTTAGCCTGATCTCCCCTCCTCTGACCCTGCTCTCAGCTCTATTTTGCTTCCCCAGGGAGAAGGAATGCTCCCCGGTGGTAAAGGAGCTGCAGGGCAGCTTCTGCACCCGCTACTACTGCAATCTAACCGTGCCCAACCCCAGGGCACACAGCCAGTATACAGTCTCTGTTAAGCTGCGGAAACAAGGGAAGTTCATCAAGAGCTCTGATCACAGTGAGTTTGCCATGCTCTGCATGGGTTCCCAGGGCTATAGGGCTATTGGGTCCATTGTATATCCCGAAAAAATACAGGGACGACTTCGGCACCTTTGTGTCTGTCACTTCCAAAGATTTTCAGACCAGTGAGTCACGGTGACACAATGAATACTCTGGAGTTAGAAATGTGTCTGATTAGGTAAGAGTGATTGATGAGCAAGCATGAGGACCTGAGTTCAAATCCCAGCACCCACATGAAAGTTTGAGTGTGCTCATATGCACCTGGTAAGAGATGGAAGGATAGTTGGGACTTTTTGGCTACTAACATGGATCCAGGGTCAGTGAGAGAACCTGTCTTAAGGGAATAGCACACAGAGAAAAGACAGGAAACGACTCTCTATGACTTCTGCATGCCCATGTATAGGCACACACACTCACGCGTAGGCTTATGCAACTGAGAAATGGAGAGGCAGAGACAGAGAGATGGGGAGAGAGAGGAACCAGGGACACCACAGCCCACTTGTACCTCATCTGCTCTGCAGATGACACTTGTCATTGCTCAAGAGTAGCACTTGAAACCTGCCCCCTCCTCCCCTCCTGCTTCCACTCAGCCACACACTTGCCCCTCCCTGGGACCGCCATCCTTAACTCTCCTCTCCCTCTGAGGTTTCCAGCCTTCTCCTCCAACTAATGTTCTCACTCCCAAACTCTGCTCTAGGTTTTACTTTTGTGCCAGGGAAGGAGTGTATGCCAGCAGATGGCTTCCTTATAGATCCACGTCACACCTTCCTGGCACATGGCAAAGACCGTGAAACAAGGAAGGCTTTTCGTCCTTCCAATAATGCGTGCCACCTTCGGCAGACAATCCCTTACCACCTGAGTTCACACCCAGCAGTTTCTCTTGGTGTCTTCCTTCCAGGAAAAAGGATTCCTCTTGCTCAAGAGAGCCCTCCATGTGTTATAGTCATCCACGTTACTTTTGCTAAATTTCTCTGAAGTCATCAAGTTGTGAATTTTCTGATGGGGAGAGAGAAGCCCAGAGTGACTAAGGGGCTTCATTTGAGTTTCCCAACTCTCTGAGAATGTGCATCAGGGCTACATGAGAAAGCCTGAACACATGGTTGTGTCTCAGCTTGTGGTCTGCTGGCCAAGTGTGCAGGATTGTCACCAAGGGTCTTTCAGATTGGACTCAGTGTGGTGGGAAGACAGTTATCTGAGTATATCTGAAGGCCTAATTCAGCTGGTGTGTGCATGTATTGGGGGACTTTTAGAATAACAAGGACTTACTAGCCCATCCTGCCTTCAGGCAACTCCCATGGTTACTGAAGCAGCAGAGGGCAGTGGCTGTCATAGGACAGTGGAGACACAAGCTCTTTACTGCTCAGTTTTTATCTGTACTCAATCAGGGGCTCAGTTTCCCCATGTGTAAAATGGGGGAAGTTAGAGCACCTCGCAGGGGAAGTGGGAGAGCAGAGAAATCGATTTCCCACGAAGTGACTGTGTTGCCCAGGAACTCAAACAGTCCATGTACCTAGACAGGGAGTCATGGGTTGCTGATTTTTGCCCCCTGTAATCCAACACTAGCAGAAGCACCAGGCTTTGGGCCACCTCATCACTGTGGCTTACCTCAGCCACTCCCCCAGGGACCAAAGAGGGACATTGCAGTTCAGTAATGTTGGGTGTTCATCTTAGAAACTTTTCTATTGTTGTGACATGACATCATAACCAAGGCAATACATAAAAGAGAGTGTTTCCTTTGGGTTAATGGTTTCAGAGGTCAGAGGTCATGATGGCAGAGCAGGGCAAGCAGGCACCAGAGGCAGAACCTGGAGCAGCAGCTTCAGTACACCTGGTTTGGTTGGATGGTTGGTTGATTTTTCAAGACAGGGTTCCTCTGTGGAGCCCTAGCTATCAAGAAACTAGCAATGTAGTCCAGGCTGGCCTCCAAATCACATAAATCTGTCTGCCTCTGTGTCTGCAGTGCTGGAACTAGAAGCACGCACCACCACACATACATCTTGAACCAAAGCTAGTGGCAGGGTGCACATCAAAGTCCTCCTACCCATTGACACAACTGCTCCATCAAGGCTACAGCTCCTAATCCTTCCAAAAGAGTTCTACCAACTCAAGACCAAGTGTCCAAATATATGAGCCTATAGGGGGCAGCATTATCATTCAAACCCCCACAGAGTTCTAAGGAGTCAAATAGGCAGGGGATTGGGGAGACAGGTCCAGGGAAGAGAGCGGCTAGGACCAGCTTGGTCATGGGGAACACACCATTGGAGAGAGGACGCCTTGACATCCTCTGAAATTATCCCCCCCTGCAGTCCAGATGCATCCTCCCAGCCTCAAAGTGACCAAGAATGGAGACAGCTACAACCTGCGCTGGGAAACTAAGAAACTCTTATATTCTCACATCCAACACAAATTCCAGGTCCAGTACAAGAAGAAGTTGGACAGCTGGGAGGTGAGGACCACGACCCAGGGGAAGTTGGGGACAGGGAGAAAAGGACAGAGAGGACACCAAAGGGACCTATATTTCCTGGAGTCTACCATGACCTTAGTACCCACATGGTCAAAAGGCGAGAGTCCCATTTTTTGATGAAGGGTTTGGGCTCAGAGATGTGACATGACAGGTCCCGTGATCAGCACTGCCCTTGAGCTGAGGAGGCAGAGAGGGGCAGTAGATGTGCCTAGAATGAAGGTTTCAGTGATCACTAGGCCTGGGTGTATTTCCTTCCCAGAACCAGATCAGCCAATGTTGTAGCTGTTGAGGGCCAAGCTAGTGCTTAGGGTAGGTCCTGCCAAGCACACATACCATATGCAGATCCTGGCACCTACATGCAGAGTGGGGCTTCACGGACCCCAAAGCAGGACTTCTCAGAAAGGGAATAGGGAAACTGAGATGTAAGAGTCACCACCACCTCCTCCACCACCACCACCTCCATCACCTCCTCTACCATCACCTCCACCACCACCACCTCCATCTCCTCCTCTACCACCTCCTCCACCACTACCACCTCCTCCACCACCATCACCACCACCTCCTCCACCACCACCTCTACCACCACCACCACCTTCACTACCACTATCACCACCACCTTCACCACCACCACCTCCACCACCACCACCACACTGTCTCATGGCCTAGGACCTGGACCAGTAAGATAATCCTGGGTCAGACAGATTTTAGGCCAAGGCAGCATACCAGATAAATTGGGAGGTAAAGAGAGTCTGGGCTTGAGCCTAGGTATGGCTCCACTTGGTATGGAGAGTTGGCACCTGGGGCCCCCACAGTGGCTAGTCACAATAGGCTCTGAACTGGGGTCCTGGTCTGGACTAGAACTTCAACATACCTGTCACTGCAGGACAGCAAGACAGAGATCCTAGATCATGCCCATAGCATGTCCCTGCCACGGCTGGTGCCCTCCACCTCATACTCGGCCAGGGTGAGGGTCAAGCCCCTCCCTGAATACTATGGGATCTGGAGTGAGTGGAGTGAGGAGTGCACCTGGACCACCGACTGGGGTATGTCTCCTGGCCACCACACTCCTGGGACACCCTCACTGCACAGGGCAAGGGAGGCTCTAGACCCATTCCGGCCTCCCTCCCCCGTGACTGTCCCTGGGAAATGATAGCTGGTATATTGTACACTGAGAGTGGGGACTTGGGCGAGGAGTGGATCTGTCTCACTGTCCTTTCTTTCCATTGGGGCTTAGACATCTTGGCTTCATTAGACTTTGTGGCAGCCATGATTAGTCAATCTGAGTTCTCCTTCCCAATTCAGCAAAGCTGTACTATCCATAGACCTACATGAGTGCCTAGTTTGGGAAGTTGGTGGGACCCATTGGTCCTGCCCAATTTCCTTCCCTTGACATTTGCATTCAACCCTCACTCTCCCCATGGTGACCCCCTGTGCAAGGCAAGATCCACAGAAGTTAGAGACCTGGGAAGTGGCAGTGGTAGGAAGCATTCCTCATAACAGGACTTGTTGAAGGGGGAGTCTCGGGCTGACCGCCAGTTAGGCAGGAGGAGAATTGGAGTCATGGACTCAGGAGATAGACAGGAGAGACTTACAGGGCCCAGGTCAAGAAGGCTAGTGTCCTGACAGAAGGGACCCCTTTCTGGACTACTCTCCATCCCCTCTGAAGCTCCCTGATCCTGGAGGCTGTGCTCTGAGCTGCCCTCTTCAGAAGGTCTCCCCAGTTGCCAGGCTCAGTCAGTCCCCTCTGGGTACTTTTGCTGCTGCCGAGGGCAGAACTTCCCCACATTGAATACTGAGTTCAGACCCAAGGATTCTTCTCTAAGTATCCAGCCTTCCTCACAGAGGGCCTGGGAACCCTAGCTCCTCCCTCAGCCTGTACCCTGTGCCTCCCACCTAATGCTCCTTCTCCTTCTCGTTGAACAAGTGATGCCCACATGGGGGATCGTCCTCATCCTGATCGTCCTCATCCTGATCCTGATCCTGGCCCTCCGCTTTGGCTGTGCCTATGGGTGCAGGTAAGGGCAGTCTGTGGACAGAGGCAAGTGGGCACTGGGCTTCAGGGTCGCAGGGATGACACAGCCTGGCACACTACAATTCCCTCACTGCCACTCATCTCCTGGCTTCAGTTTTCCCTCTATACCTGGGCACAGGAGTAGTTGGCCCAGAGGTCCCTGGAACCTTCATTGACACATCTTCCTGCTGTCTTCCAGGCTGTACAGAAAGTGGAAGGAGAAAATCCCCAACCCCAGCAAGAGCCTGCTGTTCCGGGTATGAAGGCAGAGATGCTGCTGGTCCCTGTCCCAATGCTGTCATGGTGGAGAAGGGTGGGAGATCCAGGAGGTGGGGCTAGCAGGAGGTGGATCTCTGAACTCCTTGGGTACTCTAAGGAACAGGAGTCCACAGATTACCTAGCACTGTTTGGTGCCACAGACAGAACAGAGAGCATTCCCTTGCAGAGGAAGCTCAGGAGGAGCTGCTCCTCCTGGGGATAGGGATGGAACTGAGGGCTTCCAGGAAGGTGACTTGAGCCTAACATAAATGTTTCTGAGCTGGTGGAGAGCCAGCTGCATCAAGGGGGCCTTCAGGTCACCGAGATAGGGGTCTAAGAAATGGAAAGGCGTGGCTGCCAGCATCTCATAACACAATGGCCATGTGCAGAAGAACCATGGGAGATGAAGCTGTGGTGAACAGTATGACCTGCTCCCTTCATGAGCTTGACATCTGAGGGAAGTGACCATCCCCTGGGTGCCTCTCGCTTTCTTGCTGTCAGAGGCCTGAGCCGAGCCTCACCATGGGGACATTCTTTCCATGTCTGGAACTAATGGAAGACATCATACACACATGCAATGCTCCACTGTCCCCTCCTTCCTGAGGTGCCACATTCACAGGCACAAATGTTGTTCCCCTTCTAGGATGGAGGAAAAGGACTCTGGTCTCCTAGCAGCACAGCAGCCTTTGCTACCAAGAACCTTACCCCCCGGGGGCCACAGAGAAACTTTTTCACTGAGCTACAGGGGTGAGTGGTTCATTCAGACCCTGGGTAGCCTGTGGGAGGATAGGCCTCCACTGTGCACACCAGCATAGCCGGGGGGTCTCTGAAGTGAATGTAGGGGATGACACCCACTGTAGCAAGTGCCACTCCAGGTAGACATGAGGAAGATCTTCCTTCTTCCCAGGTTAGGATGAGAGAGAGGGACCAGAGGCGACATCATTAAGTGGGAATCCTCTCCCTGCCAGGATGGCTATATAAGCCATGCCCTGCAGTGGCCTCGTGGGTGGCAAAGAGTGCATACCTGAGGGGTTCAACTTGTGCAGTGAGGCTAAAGCCCTCCTGTTGGGGTGAATCAGTGGCCCTGGGGTAGAAGGATGTAAGGCATGCATGGTACCCAAGAAGATATAAGCCCTACCCTGAACACAGTGGGCCGTGAGGAGCAGAAGCTAAGAGCAAAGCCTAGAGTAGGGATGTGAACTGAGCCCCGGGTACATGATCCTTTGGACACTAACATAGGCCCATGTTATTTGCTGGGTCTCACCACCACCATTCCTTTGTGCTCACTGTGAGGTCAGGAGGGGTCAGGACTTCTGAAAAGGACCCCTGGCTGGGTATACACGACGTATCTAGGTTCCTGGTCTCTACCCTCACTGTCCCCACAGGATGTCACATTCACATACGGTGGACAATGAAGTGTCACCTCTCACCATAGAGGTTCCTAAAATTGTTCAAGATTTACCATCTGGGCCTGACCCAACCTCATCAGAACCCACAGAACAGCTTTCCGATGGCCAGCGAGACCCACAAACCCATTTTGGCAAACCTGAGAGCCAGAAACCCAACTTTGACTTTAACGGTCCCTACCTGGGTCCTCCTAAAACTCACTCCCTGACTAATCTCCAAGGCCAACTGGTGCCCCCAGAGATAAGTGGCAGCCTGAAGCCAGAACTGCCACACTCCCTGGAGTACCTGTGCCTGCCTCCCGGGGGACAAGTACAGCTGGTACCACTGTCCCAGGCGATGAGCAAGGGCCAGGCTATGGATGCCGAGCGTGAGTCTAGTCTGAAGACCACAGAGAGCCCATCCGTGGAACAGAGGGATAGCCCTTCACTCGACCTGAGGGTGGAGGAACAGGAGCCAAAGGACAATGCAGTGACTCTGTCCTTAAACTCTGGAGGCACTGAGGACCCCGTGGTGGCCTCTGGTTATGTCACTCCTGCAGATCTGGTGCTCACCCTGCCCACAGGGCCCCCGTCTACCTCTCTGGGCCTCTCTCTAGGGTTGCCCTCAGCTCAAGGTCCTAGTCTCTGTCTCACGCTGCCTGGGGTTCCTCCTGGAAGCCCAGCTCTTCCAGCCCCAGAACTTGATGACTATGTGGAGCTCCCTCCAAGCATAAGTCAGCCCCCCAAGATCCCTCTGGGAAATCCTGTCCCTCCTGTGCCAAGCAGCACTGCAGTAAACCCAGGAGAGCACAGAGAGGAGGTAGCCCCAACATCCCCACATCACGAAGGCCTCCTTGTTCTTCAGCAGGTGGGTGACTACTGCTTTCTCCCTGGCCTGGCGCCTGGTTCCCTCTCACCACATAGCAAACCACCTTCTCCAGGCCTGTGTCTGGAGATGGTGGACCTAGACCAGGATCTGTCTGTCAAAAAGCCTTCCTGCCAGCCCATGCCCCAGGTGCCAGCCATTCAGTTTTTCAAGTCCCTGAAGCATCAGGACTACCTGTCACTGCCCCCTTGGGACAGCAGCCAGCCTGGGAAGGTATGCTGAGTCCATGCCGGACCAACCTCACCAGCAGCCCTGCTCCTCAGCCTGCGGATCTCAGCCTGACATCTCCAAAGAACCCCAGAGGCTTCCTCCACAAGATGCACACACAGTCTTCTCTGCTCTCAGCCCTGGGCTCCGAGCAGGAGGTGGGAGGCTCAAGTGGATACCTTGGGGGTCAGACATGGAAAACAGGCGGGCTCATGTCACTCCAAGAATTGGTGTGGTTCTCTACGACAATCTGAGGCTCCTGCGGAGCCCTGAGGTTCTTTCAGAGGGGACTGGGAACCCCCGTTATGTAGAGAAGTCACTGATGTGGACAGTGCTGCCTAGCTGGCCAGCATGGAGCAATGAAAAGCAATGCAGAAGGATGGGCATTGAGAACTCCTGGTGCCAACTGCAGGAAAGCCAGGATATAGATTCCTCAAAGGTCAAGAGCATGGTGATCACACAGGACAGCACATGCAAAGACTTAGTCTGGACACCCGGGCTGCTCTCCCTCTGGAATGCTTGCATACCTGCTACCTGCAACTCTCACTGACCACAGATGTGGCTATGCTGTGGGACTGTGGGACTGGGAAATTGCTAGCTTGTTGACCCTCAGGGCACAACGGCATTACAATCATTCCATTCTCACTTGCATTATTTGCTCCAGGTCTGTTCGCACATAGCTCTTGTATATGTCTTGAGTATTGGCTGTTTTTGTTGTTGCCGCAGAGGAGCTGAGTCCATGAACGATTTTGTACCTCATAGTGACATCTTTTTCAGATGAGACTGTACGGCCCTCTCCACATGCCTTTTGTTGGACGGACCCATCTCCGATAATTGTGTTCTCTCCTAGTTTTGTGCAGGAGGCACAGTGATGCCCTAAGCATTGCTGTGACACAGACTGCCGAGCTGAACCCCTCTTTGGGGCCATATTTGCAGCAACCTTTGCAGCAAACGTGCATGTGCCTTTGTTTATATTCTTTCTGCTTCCTTCTGTGTCTCAAGCCTTGCACGGGAGGTTTTGTGCCTTCTAGAGCCCGCACGCACACTGCAGAGGTCTGTCTTTGTATGTCCTGAGGACCCGGAGCCAGGGCACATAGTGTCACTTCTTCACCCACCTGCTCTCCATCCCCAAATCTGAAAGGCCCTTCCGTGACCCATCAAGTCCTCAGGTGGACCTGGTCTGTCTCAGCATCTTATCTTGTGGCCTCACTCCCTAGGTGGCAGCCATGGCTCTGCGTGTTTGATTTTGACCCATTGGCAGGCAGAGCAAGTGTTCCTTGGTCCCTGTTCATCGCAGCAAAGCAAACCACTAACATTGAATGTGTTTCAGTGGCAATGTTCCCAGGAGCTCTCAATTCCTTCTAAAGCAGACCGGCTAGGGAAACAAGCAAGAACGGCTTCCGTGTATTAGGGCATTGACTCACAAATATTTTGCATTAAGAAAGAACATTGTAATAAAATATTTGTAGCATACCACACAAAGGTGTGTGTGTATTTTGTGTTTGTGTATGTGTGTATTTTGTGTGTATGTGTGTGTGTATTTTGTGTGTGTGTGTGTGTGTGTGTGTGTGTGTGTGTTGGAAGGTTAGGGGAAAGGATACTTTGGACCCCTAGTGTATTGTCAAAAAGACACTTCCATAGGGCGGGACATTCGGTTTTTGAGACGTGGCAGTTAATTCCATGAGTTCCATCAAGCATAGGGTGGCATGGGGACAGGATAATGAGGAGAGATCTGGCTATAGCCCACAGGGTAAGAAGAAGACAAGCTTCTGAGAAAATCTCCACGGGAAGAAGGGAGAGGGGGTTGAATGTGAGCGTAAAGGATCAAAGACATGCTGGTACTTCCAAGTCACCTGGAACTCCATTTCACTGGGGGTCTCACACTCGCTCTCTGTCTACAAGCATGGAAAGCTAAGACCGACTGAACTGTCCATGGGGAGAACGAAAGACAGTTGGTTCTTAACAGACCCACTCAAGTGACTCCTGAGTCACCACCTGTCAAGCCTGGCTTTGTACTGAGGTGGGGAAGTCAGGGAGGGAGCTGGCCCAGGTGGTTTGCTCATGTGTGAGACCAGGCAGAGACCAGGCAGGGCCAGGAGGCAGAGGTTCTGGTAGGCCACATCTCTAAGAACACGGGGACATGACGTGGGACATGGGGTTGTAGGAAACAGATGGGGTGAGATGACGGTGACTTCACTGGGTAATGGTCAGAGGGTTGAGGGCTAGGAAGCCCCAACAGACATGGGCTGAAGATGGTAGAGAAAGACTGAATGGCCATCCTAATTAAAGAGTCACCATAAATCAGTAAGGACCCATAGAAAAATAAAAATATCGATCAAAAGTTTACCCTCACTAGTAACTAGCTATATGAGAATTAAAATTGGACACAGTTTTTATTTGCAAGACTGGTAAATATTAGGGGATAAAATATTGATATCCAGAATTGGGAAAGGCATAAGATATATTAGCCTTATAATACTTTTTAAGTGGACTTTATGTTTTATAGTGGTTTTGTGTTCATTGCAAAATTTAGATCCATAAAGCACCCATGGTCCCTCCTGACCTCCCCAACACCAGCAGCTTGTATGAGAGTTATCTCAGTCCCTTTGAGCTGCTGTAACCAAAAATTAAATTTAAAAAAAATTGAGAAGCAGTAGAGTTATCTATTGTGAATCTGGCGACAGGGAAATCCACAATAAGAGGCCATTGGAAGCTGGGTGGTGGTGGCGCACCCCTTTAATCCCAGTGCTCGAGAGGCAAAGGCAGGCAAATCTCTGTGAGTTCAAGGCCAGCCTGGGCTACAGAGCAAGTTTCAGGACAGGCTCCAAAGCTACACAAAGAAAAACCCCTGTTTCAAAATAATAAAAATAAAAATAATAAAATAAAACAATAAATAAATAGACATTAGAGCCCGATGTGGCAGCCAGTGCTGCAATCTCAGTACTCAGGAGGCTGAGACAAGAGACTTGCCAAGAGTTTGAGGCTAGCCTGTGCTACATAGTGACTTCAAGACCAATCAGAGCTACATAATGAGTTTCATGTAAACCTGGACTACAGAGCAAGATCCTACCTGCAGAAATAAAGAAAAGATATGTGAGACTCGGGTCCTGGCTCAAGCCACTTCCTCACAGGCAGGCCCTTCTCACTGCTTCCTCTTGTGGCAGAAAGGGTCGGGGGACTTCTTCCGGTCTCCTTTGTAAGGGCAACAATCCCTGCTGATGCTGACAGGGTTGAACGACTTTGTGACCTCCTCACACCTGCCAAGGACATGCTCTGATGCCACCGTGAGTTTTAGCAACAGTCTGCTCTGGGAGGCCGTAAATCCTCAGGCATGGCAACAGTGATGTATTTGACAAGATTAAATCCATACATCACTGCCTCCCGGTGACAGAGGTTGACTTGGGGGTGCACACTTGGCATTTCACATTCTTTGGACTTGGACCCATGCAGCCCCTGCCCCCCACTACTGTGTCACACAGCTGGCACACAACAGGCAGGATCTGTTCTCTACTAGTTCATTCCTCCTCCCACTACTGCACCTTTTAGATTCCCAGTCTCGCGTGCTCAGAACGGAAACACTAGGGATTCGGGAACTGCTGTCTTCAGACCAGTATCATCAGCATCAGTGGGGATGATACACGAACAACTGTAGTGTCTCGAAAACCAAATATCCTGGCCTATGAAATCTGTCTTCTTAACAATACACTTAGGGGCCCGGAATGTCCTCTCCCCTACCCCCCCCCCACGCCACTGTGTGATGTGTTACAAATATTTTATTACAATGTTCCCTCTTAATGCAAGGTATTTTTGAATCAATTGCTTGGAACACAGAGATCGTTCTTGCTTGTTTCCCTAGAGGGTCTGCTTTAGAAGGTATTGCGAGCTACTGTGAACATTGGATTGTGACTGCCCACCAAGGTGAGTCATCCCCTACTCAACCCACTGACAAGACAGTCTCCTCAGACACACCTGAAATCAAGTTTCCTAGATATTCCCAGTCCTGCCATGTTGACACCATCCATCCACTAAAGGACAAAGATGGTTCTCAATATCCCCAGAGAGTGATGGGGGATCCCACCTGTGCCCACCCACCAGCTGCAGGTGCCTTCTGAGCACAATGGCTGCATCTTCTCTCCTGCCTGCTAAGTCTGGCTCAAGAGCAACCTCATTGAGGAATGAGCCAGGCCTCTAAGGAAAGGGGTGTGGGAAAACCTCTGCCACCTGGAAGAGACATCAGAAGGGAATGGTCTGTGTTACAACTGTTTCCCTGTGAACATCTCGACAGACCGCATCCTTCCGTGCTTGGGGAGTGGAGAGGATTATAAGTGACTTCAAGGACTTGGGCCCTTCTCCTGGTTTTGAACTTGAACTCTGGTGTAGGGAAGATGTCCACCAAAAAACAAAAAGTGTGGTGAAAATAAAGATAGGGAAGAGACTGCTAAAGACATTTTTAAAACTACGTGTGGGCCCAGAGAGATGGTGTGGGGGTTAAGAGTGCTTCCTGCTCTTGAAGGGGACCCACGTTTAGCTCCCACAACCACATCCAGTGACAGACAACTGTCTGTAACTCCAGTTCCAAAGGTCTGACCTTCTTTTGACCTCCAGAGGCGCCAGCATTCACTTGCACAAACCCCCCCCCCACACACATATACACAGATACACATACATAAAAGCAAATGTTTTAAGTTAAGATGGTTTTTACAACTGTGTGTGTTCTGTTTTCTACAATAAAATGTGCTGTTTGTAATTGGATTTTTATTTATTTGTTTTTTGAAACGGAGTCTCACTATACAGCCCTGGCTGTCCTGGAACTCACTGTGCAGTAGACCAGACTGGCCTTGAACTCACAGAGATTGGCCTGTGTGCCTCCCAAGTGCTAAGGTCAAAGGTTACAAGCCACTATTCCTGGCTTGTAATCAGATTTTTAAAAGAAAGTTATTAAGCACACCTGTGATCCCAGCACTCGGGAGGCAGAAGCAGGTCGATTTCTGTGAGTTCGAGGCCAACCTGGTGGTCTACAGTTAGTTCCAGGACAGGCAGAGCTGTTACACAGAGAAACCTTATCTTGGGGTGGAAGGGTGAGGGGGGCGGGGAGAGAAAATATTGGTAGCTGAATGGATCGGATATTCTTCTCAAGAACGGTTGCTTTGGGGAATCTCGAACTTTCAGAAATGAGTGGGTTCCTAGACACTGCATCCCCATTACTGAGAAGCCAGTTTCCACCCCACTGCAGCCCACCAAGGTTTGAGCGGTGTGGTGCTGCCACCTAGAGGACGGCACCCTGAATTACTTCAACTCTGAGGAGTTAGCACCACCAGCTGCATGCAATTCTCTGAAGCCTTGGAGTTTGAAGGCTCAGACTGGGAATCAGTACTGGTAATCAAGACAAGAAAGAGCAACGCAGAATGAGTTGAGTCGGCTGTGGGTGCATCTGTGCCGAGCTTGGCGCCTGATGGGAATGCTGACCTCTAGTTCAAACTTTGCCAAGAACTGCAAAACCCGAGCATTTAAGCCTAGTGTGGGCAGGTCTGAAGGTGGTACATTCTCTCACCCTGATTGCACGCAGTCAGTTAAAGATAGAACTCATGTACTAAACCGCCCTTCTTTTTTTAAATTAATTAATTAATTTATTTATTTATTAAAGATTTCTGTCTCTTCCCCACCGCCGCCTCCCCTTTCCCTCCCCCTCCCCCAGTCAAGTCCCCCTCCCTCGTCAGCCCTAAGAGCAATCAGGGTTCTCTGCCCTGTGGGGAGTCCAAGGACCACCCACCTCCATCCAGGT